GCTCTTTTAAATCTTCTGGATCCATTGTGTGACACAATAGCAAAGTAACCCACTCTCTTCCCTCTATTTTCTAGGACAATGGTTCTAAGCTTACTACTCATATTAGAATAATTTGAGGAGCTTTAAAATGTGACATGGGGCTGTGGGTATAACCTAATGGTAAAGCACATGATTAGCATGCAGGCTTCCCTGAGTTTGATCCTCAGTACTCACGTCCATGTACATGTACACATGTACACATATACGCATGCACACACACACAAACACACACATACACACTCATACACACAGATCCTGTATCCCATCGCCATAGCTTCTGATTTAACTTTAAAAAGGGCTGGATGTGATATTAGGGTATTGTAAAACTCCATAAGTGAAGAGAACCCCTATTCTAAGGGATGCTGGGCAATCGCAATAAAGTGAACCATATATTCGCCTATGAATTTCAGCATAGAAGTTCCACGGATACCTAACTTGACATTGTAAATAGAGCAAGTGACTTTTTACTGCTCTGCATCAGGACCTCTGTGTTCAAAAGAGGGAACCACAAACAGCCTCTTTTAAATCTTCTTGAAATAAAAATACAAATACTCTAGTTGCTCCTCCAACACTTCTTTCGGTCTCATCTTTCTTCACCTCTCTCATAACCTTGCACTAGCTACTTCCAGGTTTCAGAAGCTATTTCACCTGTGAGGTTAAATTAATATTTGTATTTGATACATAATAAATCTATATAAAGTCTACAACAGATTAAAAAGTTCATTAAAAGCCTAAAATGTTGGAAGCTTGTGGTTCTAGCTCCCAAAAATAACTGGAGGGAGTATAATAAAAGTCAAATCTGATTTTCTATCTATGACATTCCAGAAAGTCAACTGCAATGTTTACCCATATATTGTGTCTTATCTGTTCATACTTTAGGAAGTCATTCAGGTTTAAAGAAGTCTGAAGTATGAAAGTATGAAATGTGCTATGGTTTAGACCTAAAATGTTCCCTACAGCCTCATATGTTTGGAAGGTGACTGAATTATACTGGCAATATAGTTGGCTTGCTGTTAGGAGGTGAGGACTGGGCAGAAGAGTCCATACCCCCAGCCTTCCTAGTTTCTCCCTTGACTCTGCTTCTAGGCTATTTCTAGGCCAGTGCATCAGAATGGCTGTATTGGGAAAGAGATTTGTACTAAGATCCTGAGAAGGGGAAAAGAAGATGCAAAATTCTTTTAACATAGCAGCCCATGCTTTAGGTTAATAGTTCTTTGGAAAGTTATCTGAATCACTTAAGGAAATCAGTAACCATACAATGTCCCAGGCCAACTCTGTATATATCTGGTGGTGCTTTCTCCTCCATCAGACCCTTCTACCATGCCTTCCTGCATTGGAGCCAGCCAACTATGGAGTAAAATGTGAGCCAAAGTAAACTTACCCTCTTTTAAATTGTAGGTGTCAGGTACTTTGTCCCAGTGACAAGGAAAGTGACTAAGATGACATAGAAGGCAAAAGTTATTGAGACACTGTAAACAAGATTTTAAAAACTGCTCCAAAAAGAAAAAAAAAGATGGTTGTAAATCTGAGTAGAGGGTCATAAGTCTAAAGAGTCATTAAACAGGTCGTTAAACAAGGAATAGCTGTAGTATGGTGCATCAGCATGACTGTATTGGGAAAGAGATTTGTACTAAGATCCTGAGAAGGGGGAAAAAAGATGTAAAATTCTTTTAGCATAGCAGCCCATGCTTTAGGTTTAATAGTTCTTTGGAAGGTTATCTGAATCACTTAAGGAACTCAGTAACCATACAATGCCCCAGGCCAACTGTATCTAGAGCCTAGTATTCTGTGTAGTTTATTAGTTCTCTTAGCTCTGATACACACCAAAGTATTTGAACCATTGTTGCAATGTATCATTTAGATTGGGGTAGCTGGATATACTAATAAAGGAGGCCTTAATGAAAAGTGGTGAATCACCTTTTCAAGGAGAATTTGAGATGACCTTTTCCTTCATTTGGCCTGGAGATCACTACTTGTTACTGTGGCTACTATCTCAGAAGCTTTGTTTACTTGATTGATTTCTTGCATGATTGGGATTCTAAGAAAAGAACAAATGATATTTTTAAAAATGTGGTAGCCTCAATTCCTTCTTGATTAGGAGTTTCAATTTTTAATATGAAAGTGAATTGCCTGGAGACCCTATTAAAATTCAGATTCTGCTTCAGTAAATCTGGATGGAGCAGGCTGTTCTTCTCTGCAGGTGATGCTGATATTGATCAGAGAAGCAGCTGCTAGCTTTGGTTCTCATGGCAAATTGGAATCTCCTAGGACATTTTTAAAAGTAATAATGCTTACGTCCTCATCCTAGTCACTTTTCCATCACTAAGACAAAATTCCTTTAAGAGAGGCTTACTTTTGGTCACAATTTAAAAGTTCGTGATTGGTGGGTTCTGAGGCAGAAATCAACTGGCGGGAAGGAAACTTGAAAAAGCAAGATGGCGGACAGTACTTTAGTGCAGATTTTGAAGAGAAGGGGTTATGGGAGTCAGTGTGTTCTGTGTGTCAAGAGACCTCCAGAATAACACATGTCCTAATACCCCAAAGCAAATAACTGATATAACCAAGGTCTACTCATATATGGCTGCTATTGTGTATTTTGGTATAAATTTAGACTTCCATAAGTCCTAGTGAAGACAGTAAACTTCCAAAGACTGCTGTAGAATGCACAGGCTAGGCGCCTAAGGACCACCACCAATTTCACACAACTGAATAGAACAATTGAGAATAAATGCAAGTTCAGACATTTCCACAGTTGTGTATCTCTTCTGTGGGCCACCCAAATCTCAAGTGAACCTCCCCAGTCTAAACTGGTGACAAGACTGGATGGAGGAAAGCTGCTCATATTATGATGGCCAGAAAACAAGAGAGAAGAGATAAATCCACTGATGTGTATAGTGCTCCCATGATCCAATCACCTTGCACACACATGAGAATTTGGGGGGACATTTTAGATCTAAATAATAACAATTTTATTCCTTGATATTTTGATTTTTTCACATTATTAATAACATATTGACTAGAAATCGAGAGTTTTAAAAACTCTACAAACTCGTTGTCTTAGTCCACTACCAAAAGTTAACCAACAGTATCTTTTTTCCAGAGAAACTATAAAGTGGCCTTTTTATTCACTTTGTCTTGCTATATCATACAATGTGTTACAGTTCAGAGCAGTGAAAATCTTGATTTCTCCTCTCTGATGTTCTGCTATTGTAAAGCTTCCATCAGAAGTAATGAAATAAGAAAAATTAAGAATAATGTATGAAATATCATAAAGACCAGTTGGTTTGTTTTCAGACTCATTCTTTGCAACTCTGCCCTTCATAAACCATTTTTTGTGTTAAAAATATACTGTCTTTTATTAAATGATTGTAAAACATGTGACATATTTGCTTGTTTTCTCTTGTCCTCAATATGCTAAACAAAGATTTGGGACTCTTACAGTTTTGGAAAATTTGCTGATTCATAACTGAAAATCTGAGCAGTATGGGTATAAGAAATCTATGAGAATTTGAAAAAACAAGTGAGAATCTTAGAATTGCAGGAATACGCTGTTCAATTTTAAATCCTCTAATCTCTGGGGGCAAGGAGTCTTTTGAGTGATCAATGGATTTTATAAGCGCCAGAGCTCACTGTTGGTTATGTCAGGTCAGGTCCACAAACAAGCAGAAAGGATGGGGTTACAAGCACAAGAAATGAATAAGGGAAAAACATCTTTGCATAATAAAATAGAGAAGGTGGTGGAGGAGGAATAGAGCTGGGCATTACTGCCTTCCTGCCTGACACAGAACCTCAAGGGAGTTGGGGGAGGAGTCTTCACACTGGGTGCAGGTGTGATCGTGTGGAAGAAGGGTAGTTAACAGAGAAAGCTGGATGGTCACAGAGTTCTGAAACTCTCTCAGACATATCAGGCCAATGAGGAATCCAGAACAAAGACTGCCTAGAAGAGAGGTTCTGAGGCAGGAGTGGTCTACCACTAGTTTCTCTGGCATGCTTGGTCATCAGTCATTAAAGTCATGGATCATTGAGAACATCCCAGAGAGAATGTGGCCTGGGCAGGGATGCTGCAGCGGATCTGGAAGGCACAGTGCTGCTGGCAGGAGACAGTCAGTCAATACCTCTCCTCCCAGTGTGTTCTTTCTTGGAGGCAATCTGTATCTCCACTTCCATGGCTGCTGCACTGGCACTTTCAGTTTTATAGAGAAAATGTGTATTTTTCTGTGGGATAATATAATACAAAGTTAGCCACAGCCCAGGTAATTAATGTTACCCTGTGTATCTTGCTTTTGGTTTTGTTCTTTCAAACTTAATTGGAATTTATCAATTATAATTAATCATTATGTCTTCTGGGCCCACAATTGATTTATGTCCGTAAAAAAAAAAAGTTGTCTTTATCACTTTCCTCATTGCTGGAGCAACATGTCACCCACAATTTAAGGAAGGAGGAGTTTATTTTGGTCCACAGTTTGTAGAGGTTAAATTCCATAGGCAAAACAGCATGCCAGAGGGGCATAGTAGAAGAAAAAGTGCTGATATGAGAGAGGCCAGGAAGCAGACATCAGAGGGAGGATCTGGGAAGGGAAATAACCTCTTTCAGGCCAACCCCCCAGTGGCCTACTTCTTCCCATCATATCCAAACTCCTAAAAGCATGTCAGCTTTAAGCCCCATAATTCAATCACCTTCCCAAAGTCCCACCTCTGAGTGCATGAGGAGCTTGGGAGATACATAAATATAAACTATAACAAACATAATGTCACTGGTAACTGGATAAGATTTGGTGGAACAATATCTGTCTTCCGTTGTGACTAAATGTTTAATATTAGCTTTTAAATCCATCATGTTGATACTCACTTAGCAGAAATTTTAATTTTTTAGCATTTTAAATAATTGTTTAGGATCTTGTATTAAAGAACGAGTTATTAAGTACAACTAACTTAGATTATTGTTTCTTGTTTTGCCACAGTGTGTTATCTAGCATGACAGATGTTGTGTTGGCTCGAGTGTTTAACCATTCAGATCTGGACATCCTGGCTAAAGAAGCATCCATCCCAATTGTCAATGGACTGTCTGATACATATCATCCTATCCAGATCCTGGCTGATTACCTCACACTCCAGGTTGGGGTATTTCTTTGCCTTACATGAGAGCAAAGTCAACAAAGAATACTTGACTAACTTAAGTAGAACCGTTTATTTAAATGATACTATTAGTGTTCTATTTTCAAATATCACCATGACAAAGAATTATCATATATGTGTACATACTGCATGTCCCAAGGAAAGAAAGCATTATTAAAAAGTCTATAAGATATTTCTGCACCAAATCCTGCTCCTGAACACTGTTAGCCCCTTCTCACATCTCTTGTTCTTTCAATCACTTTACTTTTTGATGCCATATTTAACACAGTGGATGAATAGGGAATGCTGGAACATACAGAATGGACAAGTGTTATGCAATCTTACATAATCAGAGACTGTAGCTTGGGAACGAAGACCCATGGAGTGTGCTTGAATATTTAAAATGGTCAATTACCAAAGCTCTTTTAAAAAGAAGGTCATTTTCTATAATGTAATAAATTTGTTGTTTAAAAGTAGAATTAAGACATGCAGGATTTATAGAGTTGAGTCTCCAATTTAGCCATGTGCTTCCAAATCAGGAACTTAAATAACTTTAAAAGAATTATTTCATTTGGTTTGCCTCAGCCAGTCTACATGGCATTGCCTCTGGAAATCATAACAACCATGGGTATTGTGTCTAGGAATGATTCTAAGACAGCAGGCAAACTGGATAGGCTTATCCCCCTCCCATTTTAATAAATTATACACATTTAAATGTGAGGTTAAACTTCAAGTGAGACTATTCAGAAATGAAAATAAGATCCGTGCAGAAAAAAATCAGTGACATCAGATGCCAACTTGCTGTATGTGAGTGTGACTTTATGCAGACACATAATTTAAGGCTTCTCCCTAGGACTCCATCATTAGTAAATTATAAATTCATTGAGGCAAAACAAACTGTTTTATGCCTCATAGTGTCTGCTGCAAGGCCTTTTGCAATGCCTTTATACAGGAGATACTAAAACAGGATTTCAGTAAATGACAGCAGCTTATCAAGACCATGGGTTCTGAATCAGACAAACCCCAATTTAAATTTTAGCTCAACCATCTTTAGTCCTGTGACCTCCAAATTACTTAGCCTTTCTCTCTTTTTTCTCTTATCTGTATAAATACTTAAATATGTTAAATACATGGGAACTACAGACACTTCAAGAAAAATAAAACAAATGTGCATTATGCCCATCACAGTTTAGTTAAAATTTAATGTGATGGAGGAGTAGTTTAGAATTAATTGCTTTTAAATAATACGTTATAGAGAGTTGAGGCCCACTGTGTAACTCTGCCGAGTCCCATTTACTTCCATTACGCAAAGACATAATTGCCCTGCTATCGGTATCTATAATTGCCAGACATGTATTTATACACAACTATACCCATAAAAAACCAACAACATAGTTGGACATTTTTGAAATTTTTGTATAAATAGCAACATTCTCAGGGTCACTATGCCATGTTCCAGGTGTATTGGTTTCTCCCTTTCTTAAACCAAAGAACGAAATTTCCTTAAAAGCAGCGATATTTGTCTCCTTTATTTAAGCTACATCTCTATTGCCAAGGATGGTATCTGGACATTGATGGTGGTCATATCTTGAAACAAACTGAATTGAAGTTGAGATTTGAGAGTGCTGAATCCTAACCACTGGACCACCAGGGAGCATCTGAAGTTCAGATTTGAAATGTGTGAAATCTGAATCTGTATAAGGTCATATGATGTCTTGGTTTGAGATAATAAGAAATTTTACTATTGCTTTGTGAATGTACTGTACTATGCAATAACGTTTAGTAGTTTATTCATTCCAACATGGCATTAGAATTGAGGTAAAGGTTATTTCCTTTACTTTAATCCTAATAGTTGTTGCATAAGAGTGGATTTCCTTCTGGATTTAACTTCCTTTATCCTTTGCCTTTTAGGAACACTATGGCTCTCTCAAAGGACTTACCCTCAGCTGGATAGGGGATGGGAACAATATCCTTCACTCCATTATGATGAGTGCAGCAAAATTCGGAATGCATCTTCAGGTAGCTACTCCAAAGGTATGCAAACTTTCTGCCTTAAAGATACACTTCCCACTTAAGTCAGATGCAATTACCCAGTGAAAACAAAGCTCTTTTCCATTCAAGGACAGCATAGGTAAGGTCATAGAAGTTAGCTTATATTACCAGATCCAGTTGTAAATAGCTTTCTAGCCTATTAGGAGTCCAGTTTCCTATCTATATGATAAGCACTAGTCTTGGTTGATGCCTTTCTTTTTGTGTTAAAAGAATGTGTGCATTCCCTTTGAATGCCCGGATGCTGGTTTTTATGATGACTGGCATCCTTGTGCATTTCCAACATAGAGGGTGAAGAAAGCAATGAAATCAAAATAGGATAGACTCTTAGTGCATGGGAATTATACTTCATTTTTTTAATACTGCAATTTGGTTTAAAAAAATGTCAGTCCAATGGCAAGCTCACAGAGGCATCAATACTAGTTCAGTGTTTCAGGGCCCTTTTGGATTTTTAAATCTGAATCCTACATAGTTATGCAGATGACTCCTTCGTACTTCCTGTCCTGCTGTTAATCTGTTCTTAGAATATATGGAAAGCCTAACTTCTTTCACAGGACCCATTTAACTCTTTTAATGCCCAAGACAATGGTAAGAGTTGTTGCCTGTAAAGAGATCTGGAGGGCTGTGCTGTGGCTCAGAGATAAAGTTGCCTGGTATTCACCAGGGCCAAAGCCTTGTGTTTAATCCTCAAACTGGAAAAAACCAAAACAAATTAAAAAGAGAACTAAGAGGTTCAAGGAAAGAGGTGGAGGGAGACATTATTTTCATTGTATATGTGTTTATGTGGTTTTTAATTTTTTCCCATGTAAATGTGTAATCTATACAATGACAAATACATAATTAAATATATTAATATAAGAATTACTCAAACACAAACCAGCTCCAAAAAGCCTCCACATAACTCTTTAAACAGCCAATCTCTACTGATTTTTTTCTCCATTGTGTTTTTTTTTTGTTTTGTTTTGCCTTCTGATGTCCTATCAGGAGTCTTTTGGAAGGAAATTTCCCCTAAACAGCAACTCTTTTAAAAACAGTCTTGATTTGCGGTAAAAGATAGAATTGACTCTGTTATTTGGGAGATGACAATTCACAGTTATCGTGCACCAGTGTGTCTCTGACCAAGCATGTATTTGCACTTATCCCATTCTGAGAACTTAAGGCACCCTGAAGTGAATACATGATGTTAAAAATCTTCCCCTTAAGCTTGAGATGTTTATTTACCAACCACTGGGAACATGAGTTATATAATATGGATGAATGACTGAATTTCTTTAATAGGAAATATCCAAGTTGCTTGAGTCTCTCATGCATTTTGCATCTCCCTCCTACTCCTACCAGTGTCTCAATCCAGATTCCCATGAAGAGTCCCCTAGTGGGGATTTGTGTAGGGGTAATTTACTTTTTAAGGGAGATCTGTAGGGGAATAGGGAGAATAGGACCAGGAAAAGGAGAAATCCTAATAAGGCTACCATTTACAGTGGCCAAGCCTCCTGGTTTCTCCAAGCCTGGAGAATTTATGGAAACAAGCTTTTGGTGCTAAGGTTGAGGAAATCCTAGCAAAGTGATTTGGTCACCCTACTGCCATATCTGACCCACACCCATAGAAAGTAGTTTCCCATAGGTGAACCGTGGAGTATGCTATGCCTGAGAGATGTCCCAAACCAGGGTGAGGAGGGTAGGGATTCATCCTTCTGAACCAGTCATTCATCAGAGGCAGCAGGGGAGGCAGAGTGATAAGTTCCCCTGGCACTTTTGTCAGGAAAAGCAACCTGGTAGTCAGAGAGATGTCTTCTGAAGAACAGCAAGTGCTACGTATTAAAAACATACTGAAATTAAGAGAGGGAACCAAAGCTTTCAAAAGGATCCTCTGAGCACATGTGGGTAGGACACCAGCATTATCTGTTGCATCCTGCAAAACAAAGTAAGAGAATATTAAGTACTTTTCCCTAGTGTTCTTGCATAACCACTTTGGGCTAATGCATTCTGCTGTCGTATTTTCTTAGGGTGGCCAAAACAAATTATCACAAACTGGGTGGCATAAAATAATAGAAATTTATTTTTTTCAGTTTTGGAGACTAAAAGCCTAAAAACAGGGGTTGGCAGGGCCACATTATGTTATTTGGTTTGTGACTGCATCATTCCAATCTCTGCCTCTATCATCTTCCCTTTGTGTCCATGTGTGTTTCTCTGTATAAATATCCCTTTTATGAGGACACAAGTGATACTCAGTATAAGCCCACCCTAATTCAATAGAACCTCATTTTACTAATTTTTATATCTGTAAAGAGCAAATATGGTCTCATTCTGGGGCTCTGAGAGGGCATGGACTGTTTTCTTTCTCCCTTCTTTTCATCCTTTCTTTTTCCTTTAAACTTTCCTTCTCCTTGCTTTCTTTTTATTCTCTTTATGTATGTCTTTTGTGGTGCTGAAGATGGAACTGAGGACCTCACATATACTAGGCAATACTCCACCACTGAACTGTACTCCTAGCCCTAAGATATGAAGTTTTGAGGACAGCATTCAACAAAGTGTACATGCCATAAAAGAAATGGTAGGCATATTAAATAGCATGTACTCGGAGGCCTCCTATTATAGTAAATTTTATTGACACAGAAAAATGACCATCACAATAGGTAATTTTCCTCTTGTACTCAGTGTGAACTGAAATAACAAGCCAGATGTAACATGATTTTAGTGATTTTTCTTCACTTTATGAGAAGGACGAGCATACTCACTACAAATTTAGTTTGGAGAAAGGCCCTGAATTAATGCAAACTATTAGTGCATTTGTTTTCTACAGATAAAACATACATTCACAATTGTTCTTGGGTATAAGGTGCTTTTAGACAGACTTTATTCTGTTGAAGAAATATATGGTTTAAACATTTTATTTTATGTCAAAGAGGTATTATTAATATCAAAGGGAAATTTTCCAATACTGCAGGGTAATTTTAGTATTGTTCTTATGCAGAAACTCATTTAAATGATAAAGAGTACTAAAAGCCAGTTAAATCTTAGTGGGTGTAAGAGTTTTAAAAATCCTGTGGAAAGTGTGATAATGCAAAAGTCAGTCCATCAACTTCAAGCTCTAAGTTGTTAACAAATTTATTTCCTTTAAAGATATAACTAGGGAAATTATTGTAAATTTAAGAAACATTGAAAAGTTTCCACATCCATAACTAATCCAGTTCTCCATTCTTTAGCCAAGAATAACTTACAAGTTCAAGAAAAAATAATTTTGTCTATGATTATAAAATTGCTCCATAAGCTATCAGTAGCAATAATTTTAACATTGTTCCAAGTGTATATTTGAAGCAAACTGGGTTTGTTAACCTCATTGTTTATCTGATTTCAAGATTTATGCAAAGACCAATGGGTGATTTAGTATTGAAAGCTGAGGTATGAGTAAAGAATTCCTCTCTATATTCTAAATCATGGTCCAGTACATCCAAGGTTGGGTGCTTTTCTAATTTCCAAGCCTCTCTCATGGTTCTCTAAGTACTTATTGATGCCTTCTCAAAGAATGATTATACTTAGAGAGTATAAAACCTGCTGTCCAAAGGGAAGGCTAAATTTTCAGGGCAGGAAGCATATAAGAATTATCCAGGTCTCTTCATTTATATTTACCACTATGACTCTTTGCAACATTAGTTACTAAATTAGCAAGCTTTTATTAGTAAACTTTCCCCAGACTCCCACAAACAAGGCTATAGAATTCATGGTCATTTTGAGAGTGGTAAAGCTATTTAAAAGATCTGTATCCATCATCATCAATATCTCAGTATTTTTTTCAAGAATTTTGTTATGGGAGAACTATGTTACTCAATTATGTATAAATGAAAGGCAGTGAAAAATGAATAAACTTGAATGTGTCTGTGATATATTGGGTCTCCCAGATGGCAGATTTTGAGAGTGCAGCATTCAAGATGCACTAGATGTTTATTATACTGTGACCTTGAAATCAACAACTACAGGAAGGAAGTGAAGGAAGTAGGAGTTGGCAAAGAGAGAGAGAGAGAGAGAGAGAGAGAGAGAGAGAGAGAGAGAGAGAGACAGAGACAGAGACAGAGAGAGAAAGAGAGAGAGAGAGGGTAAGCTCTCTGCAGGAGCAACACCAGTCTTGTCTGACCTTATGGAATACTCTGGATTTGAGATGGCCCTGTGGAGCTTCCCAGGAAGGGCAGAAGGGTTCAGGTTTTCAAAGCCTCCTATCAATCATTCATTGAATTTGGGGCCATGATAGGGTGTTTGACCTTGAGTGAGGCAGTTCTCTGCAGCTGAGGCGGTGCCTAAAGGAATCTGACAGCTGAAGGCCGTCTTCTGGCAGCACCCCAGTAGCTAGAGGGAATAAATCCTTAATTCGTGATTATTCGTGGGTATGAGAAAATCATAAAGGGGAATCTGAGGGGCATATTACAGCATTCACCACAATGCCCCACTGAAAATTTATAAATGCTTAGAATAATAAATGCTAAGAATTTGGGAAAATGACAAAGCTAAAGGAAGGTGAACATAATTATGATGTTTGAACTGACCAGATTTCCATATGAAGGGTCTGGAGGTGAGGCTGGGCTGGAGTTTTGAGGAGCTGACAAGTTCTGATGAAGATACCCAGGAGGGGACAAAAGGAAGGTGTTCAAGGGTGAAAGGCTGTGATGGCAGAAAAAGGCAAGATGTGTACAGGAGTGACAAAAGACAGGCAGGCTCTCCTGCAGCCAGATGTTGAGAAGAATTAAGAGGCACACGCAGGGGATACAGGCAGGGAGTCTTAATGCTATTAATCAGTTTTGACTTAAGTAACAAGTGGTAAACATGGAGGGTGTTGGAGAAGACAGTTTTGCTGGTTGGTATAGAATATATTGGAGAATGAAGAGAGCTTAACCATGGAGGCTTGGAATAGCTTGGGTAAGTTTTACTACTCCAGAATATCCCCTCATGTACCTCTGGGACTAAGAGCGAGTGAGGCACCTGGGATGAAAAGTTTT